ATAATACAGCGATTGTTCACCTGCAATACGTGTGACGATGTTCTAATAACTGGAGAAACATACGCACTTGGTCAATGAATCCATGACCTGGGCAAAATCTACTCTGCTCTTTACAAACCAATTCTTCACGCGTTTACAAAGCCAATATTTTAGATGCGACTGGTAACAAATTAATTACCCCACAAATTGGTACACGCATTACATAGACGCTTTTTGATGATATGTACCATAATAGTTTGATTCAATGCTGGTGGAACATTCTCATTTTTCTCTGCTTACCTAAACAGTCTATTCAGTTCTCTGATTATACGTAATACCCTAGTTTTCAGACAAGCTCGGTTTGATACTTAGCAGCAGTAGCAGATAGCACCGGTTTACTTACATCAACCTATTGAAGACAAAGTTGATGACCACAATCAGGTCTCAGAATCTTCACAAATGCTTCAGAAGGAGCAGTGGTCCTGTATGCACCGACATCACTAGTAGCCAATAATAATATGGGCTCTCTGAGTCCCGAATTGACTGGCAGAGGGAGGACACTAGACACCACTACAATGATGGTTGTGTTAGTAGTTAGTGCCATCTAGAAACAGGTTGTTATGTGACGTATGATTATCATGTCCCCACTGACCACTCAAACGACTCTTCTCTGAGCCTAGGTGCTCGACTTGTGCATTCAAGTCCACAACTGATATTATGATGTCCATGGGATACCCATGCCGCAGAAGTCATTCTTAACTACATTCGGGCTAAAATCCATAGCCGCATAGATAGATAACGACAAGGTAGCGTTTCCCCAGCCGGTTGCTTCTAACTCTAGTATGACCTAGCCTCAGCAATATCAATGACTGCGAACAGGGGAACAATTAGGTAATTCGAATTCGGCCCCATTACTTAGTGAGATATCGCCACCATCTAGCCGAATGCCTATGTCGCCCGGTCCCTGGATAAGTGTGCTATCCAGTCTAGCAGATTGTAAAGACATCCGAAGCACTTCACTGGGATACTGTGTGCGGGTCTCTTAGCTCCAGTACACATCAGTAGCAAGGCTATTCAGAGTTCCGACCAGCCCTGCTTGTTGTCCGATTGCCACCAATGTGCAAACACTGCAGGTGGCAAATTTGAATGCAACATGCAGTCCCAGAGTAGCTGTATTAGATGTAGGACTGGTGGCTAGCTTTCTGAAGGTAACTAACTGGCAACTGGAAATGGTGCGGAGAGACTGAGATTTCAAGCAACAGCGACTTGTGAGTCAGTCAGTTCAAGTGTGAAGTGAATGGTTCTTCAATTTCTGATATCCTCGTCGTCTCAACTCTTTTTTCATTTGTCGGATTCTAATAATTATAATTATTATTTTAACATTACTGTCAGAATGATCATTGTTTTTGTCTTTTTTCTCAATGTCTCCATATTAAATTGAAACTCAATCATCTTTGTTGACTCACTAGTAGTAGTGATGTTCATATTATCAATTTTCAAATCTGTCTAATTATCTTCAGTTTTCTTTTAATCATTATGCATTCTTTTTCCCCTTTAACACAAATATCTTCATTACATCGTTGAATAATTTTCTTATCATTTAATTCTAACTGATAATCGATAATGTACTGATATATACTTGTATTGAATATAAATATAAAGGATGTGTAAAGTATAGCTTAAGAAAATGACTATTTATATCTTTTGATTTTATTCCTTTGCGTTTCCGGTGGAACATAGGACCTTAACCTTGAGCACTGAAGTTTGAATAACAGTGGTATTTTCTATGGGATATGGGGCTGCCAGTCTCATGCCAAACCACTCCCTCTTTACCAGACTTACTACTGGCTAAGCAAGGTTTAGGAGTCTGTTGGCCAGGGACTTCACCCCGGACCACATGTGTGGTTGATGAGTATTCTGCCACTGAACCACGGACACACAAGAAAATTACTTTATTAAAAGGAAAACAACAATTTTCTTCTCTACACTGTCTTCTATTTCTTCGTGACCAAACAGATTTCGCGTGGGATTTATAAAATGATTAGGTATTATTCCACACGCACGTATTCACTTATTTACATTTGAGTAACATGAGTAGTTTCTTTATAATTACATATAAAACCCGATTCGTTCAGTTTTGTAACAACGATACGTAGTAGTGAAATGGAAACCTGAATTAGAGCAGAATCCGAACTAGCAACCTGAGAATAGTAGATTATTCTATTAATATTATTATCACCTTGAGATCCGAGAGGGAAATGAATCTTTAACAGCTCATCTCCAAGTTGTCATGTTCTCTGCAATTTTCTTTAGCCAGCTCCACGAATGTCTATTTCATTCCTTCCTCACACAATTTCCTCCATGGCTCCCTCGGACGCCTAACTCGTCGTTTCTCATTCGAGTCCCACTCGAGTTATGGCCTGGCCTGAATCCTACATCTAAACATTCACTTATAACGGTTGGAAATTGTATTCATTTGGAACTATTAAATATTAAGCTGCTTTTTATGACAAATTATATTTGATATACTTCAAAGTATGCTTTACTCAAGCTGTCAACTGCTTTTAAACATTGGCCCCTATTTTCACATAATATTCAGTCTCTTTAGACCTGACCTAGCGAACAAGAGCATATAACCTCATATATAAAGCGCAGCTGTTAGCCTGAGTGGAATTATCATTCGATCGACTGATATGTCACATAAGTAACCTAAGATTAGCCTGCATTAGTGGCCGTGAATCATTCTGCTCAAGCAGTAGTGAAAGTCGCTCCAAAAAACGTTATGTTCCCTTGTATCAGAAAAATGAAATCTCTAATACGTACAAAACTACTGGAACAAACAGATATTCCTTATAAGCTGGGTAGCATTACGACTACACACCAACACGACTAAGTCCAGAAAAATAACTCAAAGACATCCAATGTTGGGCAATCATAGGAAAATGAGAAACCACCTTTTTTAACTTCTGTACTCTCAGTTCTTCTCCAAACTGATCTGAATAAGTATTTAAGGCGGCTTTTGGCATCAACAACCCGTGAATGCAGTTCTTAATATGTGAATAATCCATTTTAAGGATAAACTTCGCTTTGAAATAGTTAGGAAAATCAGACTACCTATATTAAAACAGAGAGTACTGTCTAGCGTAATCAATATAATAAACTTAAATAAGTATTAGCACAGACCTTCTACTTTAAACCACGTGGTTGTGTGAACTTATGAGTAATGTTGATGTCAGCATATTTATACAAGTTTACCTGGAAATGTACTGACAAGTGATCTTCGATTTTCAACGTGAAATGTCATTTAACTGAAATGACTTTGATTACTTAAAAGTTAACAAATGATTTTGCCTTATCACAAAAGGAAATGTAAACAAAATACGAGATTTCATGTACACTTAAAATGTGTTATACACAATATTCTAGGGGTAATTAGATGTCTCAGAAGATGACACCTACTTCATAAAATGACAGTGAACTAGTTGGATATTAATAGTATAGTAATTTAAAAAAAGTTTAGTACTTCCCTTTTAGGCAATTGTCAACTAAAGTCGTATGGAAAATGTTAACAAGATAAATGACTGCTTATCAAAGGATAAGTGCTTGAAAAGGCATTATTCAACATGAATACTAAAGTCAACACTCTAATGCAGTGCGGTTCACTGCTAGAATGCTTGCTGACCATTCAGGTGGTCTGGGTCCAATTTCCGACTGACGCACCCTTAAACCTCGCTTACTCAACAGATAGTAAGGTCGGTATGCAGAGATGGCTGGGTGTGGGGCTAGCAAGCATACCCCATAAAAACAACACCACCGCTACTGAAACTTTTAAGCCCAAGCTTGAAGCCCTGTGTCCCACTCAGAAGGCAAGAGAATGAAGAATAAAAACATAATTATATAGCGATTTCTAGAACAAAGAGACATCATCGTTTTTGGACTAAGAATTACTGTGTCGTGATTCCAGTTGCGTCGGTGGCACAGTGGTTAGGCCCCTCGCCCACCATACACATGGTCCGAGGTTCGATCCCCTGCTGACGCACACCTGATATTTATGGTCGGCCTGCAAAATTTGGGCTACCGATATCACATGCTGAAAATCCCATGCTTGTACCAAAAATACAGTGTGAAATCAAGCTGCAATCAAAAAATACATCATATTTACACGTCAACTATGAGTTAGAAAGAGGCGATATGAAAATATCATTGGATATAGCAGAATACTCAATAACAAAAAAGAGGAAACGAAAATGCAGAAATGTGATAGTGCATCCGACTTGACGGTATACTACGCATGAATTGGTGCCACCATAATTGGTTAAGTCGTGCTATTTAGTATACAACCGTAGGCCCTTGACACTATGCGGACTTATTTTACCCCTATTATGCTACCTGGATCAACAATCAACAGATTTACGGACTAGTATCAGATGGCCGTTGTGTCCCAGTTCAGGGCTCCTTACCAGTGAAATAATGTAGGCAAAATCAACATAATTCCCACTTTAGAAAAATAAAGTATGACCAACAAATCTGGAAGCAATCAAACCTCAGTGTGGAATCGACCTTCGCATTAACCAACAGTCCGACCCTGTCTTATGGAGAGATTCAAAGGTACAGAACTTTTATAGTGGCGTCGATGAATTCGCAGTTTCCTTTGCATGTCTGGAAATATTGTTACTATGTGCCTACTATTAATTTCAATAATCGGCTTCTGTCGCTGAATTGCTTTGAGAAGTATTACAAGTCGAACGGACCAACTCTTATGCAATGTGAGATATTGGTTTACCTTCATTTTTATGACCGCTAATAATCAAAAAATATACATTCTTAGCAAAATCATAGAGATCATTTAAACCACCAACTTAAAAACACTTCTTTAAAAATTCTTTCAGAGAACACGATCATTGATTTGTATCATTCTCTCTATCTCGCATGAACCATTCAAGCCACGTGCAAGCGGCGAATACCACTTTCATCAAAGTATACATAACATGTAATGGATACCAAAAACCTCTCTAGTGTGAGAAAACTCTATATAACCTTGGACGTAATAGCATAGAATTAAGTCAGGGGTTATGTAGAAGTCTCACCATCTCACTGAAAAGGACAGACGTAACCACAAAACTACTTATTGACAAAAAGAAACTATCGAGTAGCATTCTTACAGAAGCAAACGCTAACTAAAGCTTGAATGTGCCGTATTTAACGAAAGAAACAAGCTATCTGAAGTGAGGCAAAAGAAAATATGGATACACTCTAGTGTAGTCATGGAACAAATTACGATTATTCTTTAGCAGAATCGTTAAAATGTAACGTAAGAAGAACCTGCATAATAAGACCAAAACGTATATTTTGCATACGTGTAAGGGAATATTACATTGGAAGTGAATGAGGAAAATTGATAATCATGTTTCGTCTAACGAACAGGAATATTAACCGGATTGTAAAAAACAGGTGATACTTCACTTCCGCGTCCCAGGGATGATTTTCACCAAAAATGTTCGAAGATCCTCCATCTCCTGAAATAGTATTCAGTTAAAAGCAATTGCTACTATAGTCTTACCTGTTCACATGATGAATGAGACAGATGAGGATAACTTTTTAGTTCACACTTGGATAATCGGAAAGTTTGTAACAGCTCATGAGTAAGCTTGCCCATAGCAAAAGGAATCGTGCAATCTTGTAACCCATGACACTGAAATATTGGGACATCCTTTGGCATGGTCAAAAGCTAAACACTGATAAGCAACAGCAAACACTTACTGTAGGAGATGTCAGGAATTTCGTATGAAGCGGAAGCCAAGAACTAAAAGCAACAACGCCGCCATAGCGACTTGTCCCCGTTAGTGCATTATAAAGAGCGACCGAACCACCTTGAGAAAAACCGCCAATAACTATATTCTCAATGGGAATTCCAGCTTTCACTTCTGAATCTACAAATTTTCCCACTTTATTCAGAATAAATCGGGAGTAAAAATAAATAAGATATACATTCACTTGACGCCGCTTTAATTCCCACTTCATCTTGCCTAGCATCCTCGCTCAAAGCATATATATCATACCTATTCACTAATTAATCAAAAATCACAACAAACCAAGCTGGCATATGCACTCCTCCATTTAGCGTGACTGGAATTGCATTCCTACATTAAGTAATATAAAACATCCAAAATATTAATTATCTTACGCATGGGGACAAATGACTTTGAAGTAATCCGGAACATGTGATTTCAGTGCATCTGACCAACCATTTCTAGTAGCACACACATTTAGAATAGGGAAGATTTACCCCGTATCACCCAGTCCGTGCAGAAAAATCAACTGAAATGCAAAACCAGATCGAAAGAATTTAACTCACATAGTTGTCAAAAAATTACTCAGGTACTACTTCTGGTTACAAAAGCAGTGAGATGTTTACGCGCTCAAGAATCTGATTATTAAATTCATGCCAGTGTACATTGCAGTAAAGTGAATACTTGCATATCAAAGGTACTTATCATCACATACGACTGCAACAACACTTGCAACTTTTACTATAATGCTTATTGGTCACAGTATCAACTAATGTTTGCATTTTGTGGTAGCTTGGATCGAGAGAATGTTTGCACGATTGTGCACTAAAGGTCACATTTCTAATAGTAAGCTCATTTGTAACTTATTTTAATCTCACCAAAGTCAGTTGATACTTATAAAAAAGTAATACTTCCTGAAGTGAAGAAACTAATAAACAAAGAGATAATGGAAACGACTCTTTGCTATTCTAATCAAAGACTAGCTTATGTTTTGCAATAGAAAACGTATAGTATTGCGCTGCTTTGTGGGATTGATGACATCCCGTCTTACCATTATCAACTCCCAGTCGATCACTTTCGGCACTTATTGACACCGAACTCTGTGACTGAACAGTAACAACCACATTCTACGAGACGTCATGGGTGCTATGGGATTGGAGAGTTTGACTTAGCTTCACCAGTTATAAATTGAAATCAGTCCATAAAATCTCTGAGTGTATGCTTGGTCTCGTATTTCTTGACTATTCGATACGCTAAGAACTATTTGTTGGAAACTATTGGTGAGATAACTCGAAGTAATATCCAATGGTGCAGATGCAATCCTCTTTGTAATTTCCCAGATCAACTAAATCCCCATTATTCTCCACACAATGATCCTTTCTCCCGAAATGTTTTCACACTGCATTTCGCTATTTTTCCACACCTTCGTGTGCTTTTATGGAATATGACAACTTGAACTGCTGCACTTCTGCGCACAGTTCCAAGTTGAAAACGAGGGTACTTCATTATTCACTCTGAAGTTAGAAAGGAGGATGAAACAGCTACTTAATGCCTCCAGTTAACAACGTTCGTACAAAAATGGACTATGAATATCGGAATTGCTTTGTAGATGATAAATTATATAGCAAATGCTGCTTACATCAGACGAAGAGCAACATGTTCGAGAATTTTTCAAGGATCGTTAGCACGACAAGCTACAGTTAAAAGCATCGAATTTTTTACAGCTAAAACTGAATTACAGATTATGAAGAATGGTCATAGGTCTTTCAAATAACTAGTCAATCTTCAGGCATTAAATTAACCCCAGGATCAAGGTTAAGGTAAGCTTACAGTTAGGTCCCCATAAGGAAATAATGCTGCTTTAAATATATACATAAACATAAAACTGTTTGCGAAACCCCATGAAAATGTGCAAAGCTACTGCAGGAATGCAGACGTGGAATTAGGAAAAAGCCAGTTACGATGTATTACCGAACTTCTGGGATGGAATGGAGTACACCAAGCCAAGTGAACGATCAGCTAAATGGCCTCGAACAAATTAGACTAACCCCACATTCGAAGGTACAAACACGGATTCTGTGTACGAATCACGTTGCAAATTTGGTTTCAGATTTGGACAATGTGTTCATATGAGGGACGAAAATGGGGAAGTATGGAGGGACAGTGATTTTTTCAGTAATATGCGAAAGCAGGTGACTCATAAGGTTCTATGTGGAGTTAAACAAACCGGATACGAGCGAAACGTGTCACGGAACGACATGAGAAACAGTCGTCTAGACGAATCCATTAACAGAAATACACCTGGACCAACATTAATTTGTTTAATCAGATTTTCCGTTCAAATAACATTTTGAAGTTATCTCATCAACAAGTGTGGTAAGACAGAAAACAGGAAGTATTTCGTTCAAAAACAGGAAAAGTGAGGTACCTTCTCATAGTGCAGTGCACAAAACATGGAATAAGTATAGAGAGTAGGGAATTACTTTGATAATAGAATGGGAAGAACTGAAAGGACATAGGTGAATGAATATTCCATGTTGAAAACTACCCACTCTTTGCTTACATCATATTTGGTCAACACTGCCCACTTACTCCAATCTTACTCAATTTTTCGATTTTCTATCTCGTATGGGAAAATGTATGCCAAGTTAATGTATTTGGTATGTGCCCAATAATTTTTTTTATAAAGCATTCGTTTGGTTAGGTCAGTGTGACCAGGTTAAGTAAATCCTGTATACATACAAGTGGGCTGTGTACATATAGTAGAGCCCGATTACGAAATATAGCCTGCTTATCACTTTACAGAAAACAACTCACCGTAGCAGTGTGTTTCGAACGGGGAGAAACAATAGCAGCAGGTAATAACTTGTTAGCCATATTATCTTCTGATGCACAGCTAAAACTACTTCCCATAAAACATTAACGACAACTACGGGTACCAAGTTTGCACAAGGTAGCCGCCTGAACTCAACCAAACAAGGGTTGACCTTGAAGCCAGTAACCCAAATGTAACTCAAATTCACACTTGACCATGGCTGATTTTAGGGCTGGGCTTATTTATCACGCACTGTTGAAGTTCCGCTTGGAAATTTTTTTGACAATAGTTTTTAATAAAATTGTGTTATATGTTATCTAGATTGATGGAAATTCCCATGTTTTGGCCAGTTATGTTGGTGTCCGCCTCATGTGATCTGACTGCGACACACTTTTAGCATATTGGTTGCAATGATTAGTGTTTCAGGTGGACTGTGTCAGAGTATCGCGATAATGAGAGGGTAGGATAGTTAGAAAGTAATGCTATTTACACAAATCGTTTACTCCATATAGAAGCTGCACCTTTCGGCATAGTATCATTCAATGAAGACTTCATGTCTCAGGATATCAATACAGCCTATTTTCGTGTGAAGAACATTTTTTGACAAAATAATTCTCTCAATGCTTGGAAATCAACTGCAAATGCTATCAGAATCGTTTGTGGCTACCTAAGTTATCATTTAGATGTGCTTTCCACTCTATCTGTGGTTGGACAGGAATTATGGTAAGCTGAAAGGTTATCTCTAAGTGGATTTCATACATATTGGCACTGATTGGTGCAGTGTACTATGGGTTATGTGAATTAAATGTACAAAAATATCTCAACTTTAATAATATTTTGCCATTGTCTACTTAGCTGACTGATAGGATAACAAACATGGGTTGTTGTCACGATTATTGCAAGTACAATGCAGTGGAGAAGGCAATTACTCGTTTAAATTTCCTTGTTGTTCCAATTAATGCACTAAATCATTACACGGTATGATTATACGCATGAGTCGTGGTGATTACGAGAACTGAATCTATTCAGCTTTATTATCATTAATATGAATTTATTCTCTTTTACAATTTCCACTGACTGTATACTTAATGCTACAATATTTTTGATCACCAATAGTGGAGATGAATTTCTCCTGAGATTTCCATTTAGACAAAGCAGTACAGATGCGCTATGACGATTGAATTTTCTAGTTTGCATTATATGACATTATTATCCTCATCAACACAACAGGTCTGTGTACTTTACAATAGTTGAAGTGTTTCACTATGTTGTTAGCACTGTGCATAGCTGTCTAGAGTTGAGGCATGTTCAGCTTATATTTGATGCCTATAGTCTCCTAAATGTGAAAATGTGATTTCTGTAGGATTCACAAAACCTTGTGGACTAGACATTACTGAGATTGTGGATTAATTTCTAAGTTACATATTTGCAATACTTCATTTCATGTAAAAGTATTTAGTGTGAAGTTGATCTGCAAGTAAGCTTGATGAGAGAATGACGCCTCAATAGTATGGATGTTCCGGAGATTTTCTTGAAATTTGCATATAATCCTCAAATACAGGAAAACATATGATGTCTATTTATGTATACGGCGTCAACATAAATATCAGCTGTAGACTACAAATACATTTATCTGCATGAGATATTACTTAGTATTAACAGAATCATTGTATTCATAGTATATGCTAATATGTAGAATTATCTCTTGTAACTTCATGTTATGCTAAATCTTACATGTACTTTATTTTTTCAGGTATACGGAGGTTGTCGAATATGAAATCAGCGGAAACATCATTCGGTCAAACTAACTTTAATACCCTTCATCAGAATTTTCTTTTGTAAATTAATCAAATGTTTAATATACTCTTGATTACTTCTTCCTGTAGACTTCTTCAATTCCTCGCTATACTATGTGCTTTTGTAATAAGTGAATTAGGAATAATAAACGCTAAGCTTAGTTAGTGGGATGGAGATTTACTGTAGTATTATGAGAATGTTACTTTAGTCATTAATAGGATTTCGTGTCTGTTTCTACACAATAGCACATTGTAAAAGCTAAGTGGGATTTAGCAAGTTGAATAATAATTCTGTACTGTTTGATACTCTAAAGTCGCCTTATCTAGCCAGTTGCAAGTCTGTATACTGTTAAACGCCAAGTATGTAGTACAAGTAAATGTAGTAACTTAGGCTTGATAGCTACTTCACTAATCTGTTAATATGCAGTGACATCATCAAATAGACTGTTCACTTGACAATGAGCTAAGAAACAATTTTTATTTATTTCTAATATGCCGTTGAATCATAGGATGTTATCTAATATCCATCATTTCTGTGATCAAAAACTGCGGTATTTGCATATCTACTTTATAGATGTTAAATAACCTACGCCTGTATGCATCTAATTACCTCCAGTATTCCCTATTCATTTGGTGTGTGTAAACTAAACAAGTCTTTCATAAATTCTCCCATAAATGCCAAACTTTCTAGTGTTACAAGTGTTAATAAGACCTGCTTCCTTTGTTTCAAATCAAATGACGTATATACGAACTAAGGGAAAGTTACTCTTACTTAATCTTCAACCTTCACTTAGAGCCTTTAACGATCCCAAACAGTTCTCCTATAAACACAGTAGACGTACTTTAGATGCAGCTGCAGTCTTGCTTCACAACATTTTCTCCAGTATAGACAATGGGGCTAAATTCGCTGCACCTTCCTAGAATACACATCTGCTTTCGACTCAGTACCTAGAGATATTCTGTTAGATAAGCTTCCTGAAACTCAAACTGAGTATTGGATTGTTCGTACACTCACCAGATCATCGTATTTTATCCGCTTTGAAAACCGTTTTGCAACCCATCGAATGGATGTTAACACTGGCTCTATTACGGGTAGTCCTAGTTCATTTATTGCGATCTAGTACATCAAGCAATAATAAGCATAAGTAACACTTACCCTTAAAGATTCCAGTTTCTTTTAGTTACCCAAAATACACACAAGCACAACAGATTCATACTTTTCATGCGGCTCAACCTTAATTGACTTAGATTCTCTCACAATATATTTTTTTAAATGATAGCAGACACACTGATGATATATTCACATTCTCAAAAAGCTTCAAAGCTTTTTCAACTTCAACCCAGGTTCTAAATTCTCTGGGTTTAATTTGTTCTTCGAAAACCTTGCTAATATCAACTCTGATGGTGCTCTCTTTAACAGATTCACTCGCAGATTGTTGTATGCTGCAAACATGGACGAAAAGACACTCTTTTTCCAGATTTCTACATGTTATGTAAGCAGCTGAGCCAACAATAGTAACGGCAACCAACTAATGGACTTTTAAAGGTTGACGGATATCTCGTTCAACAACTTCTAATTAATTTATTCTCGCGTACCAAAGACAAAGCAAAAGCCAATAATTGATCGTCCAAACCAAGCGATATATTTAGGAGCCAAAACAAGCCGTTAGACGAACGCTTAGCTAGCTAGTGATCGTGCACGTGACACGACGAGGTATCAAATGGCGGGGATGCTTGACCGGAAGCCTTCAGCTAAACAAGTCGACTTAAACAGTGGTGGTCAGCATCCAATGAGTGATTGCTGTGGTCAATAATTTTGGGGAATTATTTACCGCTACAGACTGGAAACAACTGCTTCTGCCAGCCAAACATCTTCGTGTGCACAATTTCAAAACTCTCTACACAGTACCAATTCATTAACAGCTGAAAACCAACTAAAACACTGAAAGCAGCATGAATGCAAGGTATGAAACAATTACACCGAAATGAATGCACTGACCTGGTAGTGAAAACTTTCCAAACCAAAGAAATAATTCATTTTAACAGCAACGGAAACAAAAAATGAGGTGAAACGCAACATTTGTGAACAATACGCAACAAGATAAGCCGTGTATAACGGCAGAATAAACGGAACAACAAACGCGTACATGAACAGCTACGGAACTGCAATCCAACATGGCCGACGATATGGACGAAAATGACCTTTAAGCGTCTCACTCCACCAATGACCTTAATAAGTTACGGATAATTTCAGTCGTTTTTAGCTTACGTGGTACACTTCACACTTTCCAAAAAGTATCAATGGGACTATTGGCAAGAAATCATTTAGTGGTGGTCTGCAAAGGAATTTTCGTAATTCTGCGCCTAAACATAAAACAAGTATTTTAAGCCAAGGCTATCCCTTGTTTACTGATTTTTCTGCATAGTATCAAGTAAAGCCACCCGTTGAACTTAGCATCAACCACTTCACCTCCAAAGATCAGAGCTTTGTCTGTGCTGTTTGAATCATACTGCAGACGACTTTATTTTCAAAAGATGAGTGTCGTTGCTGCTTCGTGGTGTGATTGTGTATCCCCATATTCTCTTTATGCTGGCGTTAATAAATGCATTTCTGAAAGGCCACAATCATCACATCCTGTCATCATTAACTGAGATTGTGTTAACAGTAGGTAATGTGTCTGAATCGCGTGTCTAAAAGGATAGATGGTCATAATACAAGTATGAACCTTATCTCTCTATTTAAAGCCAAGCGGAAGCGAACATGAAGACGTCCAAGCAGCATAAACAACCGGCTTTCTGTATTACCATGGTTTTGACCACATAAAGTTGCATTGTGATATTGCTAGAATATAAATGTTAACTGTTTACCACTTAAGGGAGTTCGGTAAGCTATACACAGGGTCCCATAGATCGGTTTCTTACCTTCAGGTCAAAATACTAGAGTTTCGGATGTTGAGAGGAGTGCTCTATCTCTGTCCTCAACCTGAAGCTCACGATTCAGCTAACACAGTGGGATGTGGTATTCTCTGTAATATCGAAAGATTACATTTTTAAAACAAGCAATAAAGTTTAATAAAGCAGGATTTGACGAATTCATTCACCCCTATCGTTTTGTTTGATTAATTCAATATGGCTTGTTTGCCCATCAGTCTTATATTTCGAGCGACTTTACTGCATATCCCCTCAATGACGCTTGTTGCTATGTTGCTATTGGTTTCAATTGGCCTTGGTTTTGGGGGAAGATTTAACCGATGTAATATTGCGATTTTATAGACATAACTCAGGCTCATAGGCGAAAGAAAGTTATAATCCTGGAATAAGGACAAGTCGTTCACAAGGTGAGGAGGACATTGTTTTTCAGTTTATTTGTATATATACTATTGTGCATCGAGTTGCACTGAGTAACTGCATTTACATAAATTAAAACATTACGAATTCTCCTATTTTTAGAATAAAAAACATGATTCTTTTCATTC